AACAGTAGCAAAATTAGTTATAGAGTAGCAACGAAAATAATTTTATGGTTGGGGGTCACCACAACATGAGGAACTGTATTAAGGGGTTGCGGCATTAGGAAGGTTGAAAACCGCTGCGAGTCTATAAGCATGTCCATATTTAATGTATTAAAATGTTTAGAAAAACATGTTTAAAATAGTCTTTGTTACAGACTTGTGTGATCATATTTATTGAGAAAACTGATGTGAACAGAGTGACTCCTTAATTTGGCCAACAAGACTGTGATCCAGCCTCAGTCTCTTTCAGACTTCATCTCCCACCACTTTGCACTTCATTTATTTTGTTCTAGCCATGCTGGACTCCTTGCTATTCCATGGACACGGTATTGAACTCATTTCTGCATCAGAGTTTTTGCACTGATGCTCACTTTGTCTGGAATGCCTTTTTCCCAAATCTCCCAAGACTCAATATTTTGCTTGGTCACTACTGGTCACTATTTAAGTGTCATTCTTAAAGAGACCTTTTTTTTAAGCAGTTTAAGTTCACAGCAAAATTGAGAGAAATTACAGAGTTCCCATATACCTCCTATCCTCCCAACACACACACACACACACACGCATGCACGCACGCACAAGCGTGCGCAACCTTCTCCACTATCAATGTCCTATACCAGAGTGATCATTTGTTATAACTGATGAACCTACATTGACACATAATTAATGCCCAAAGCCCATAGTTTACGTTAGGGTTCACTCTTGGTGTTATATAGTCTATGGGTTCAGACAAATATATAATGCCGTGTATCCGTCATTATAGTGTCATACAGAATAGTTTCACTGCCCTAAATATCCTGTGCTCTGCCTATTCATTCCTCCCTCCTCCTAAACTCTGGTAACTACTGATCTTTTTACTGTCCATCGTTTTTCCTTTTCCCACAATGTTGTTTGAAATCATACAGCATGTAGCCATTTCAGATTGGCTTCTTTCATTTAGTAATATACATTTAAATTTTCTCTATATCTTTTAATGACTTCATAGCTCATTACTTTTTTCTTTTTGTGTATGTGTGGTTAAAAAACATATAATTTACTCTTAACCATTTTGAAATGTATAATTCAGTAGTGTTAACAGATCATATTCATATTGTTTTATAAACATCTCTAAAACATTTTCATCTTATAAAACTGAAACTCTGTAACCATCAAACAATTCCCTAGCTCTTCCTCCCTCCAGCCCCTGACAACTACCATTCTGCTTTGTTTCCATGATTTTGACAACTCTAGGTATCACATATAAATGGAACAATGCATTATTTGTCCTTTTGCAACAGTTTATTTCATTCAGCATAGTATCCTCAAGTTTCATCCATTTTGTACCATGTAATAGGATTTCCTTCTTTTTTTTAAGGCTGGATAATATTTTATTGTATGTATATACCACATTTTCTTTATTTACCTGTCAATGGACATTCAGGTTACTTCTGAACATGGGTATACAAATATGTCTTCAAGATGCTGCTTTCATTTCTTCTGGATATATACCTAGAAATGAGAGAGGCCTTCATCTTTGATTAAAAACTTTTATCTTTAGGCTTCCTGGTCTAAAATAGGTCCCTCACCCCATCACTTTGTACATCCTTATCAGCTCAATTTTTCTTACCAGTACTTGACATTATATATTTTTGTATTTGTCTCTCACAGTAGAATGTTAGTTGCATGAGATCAGGAACTTTGTCTGTTTTACTTACTATTAGATTTTTAGAGCTCAGATTTGTGCCTGGCACCTAGTAGGTACTTAATAATAAAAGTTGAGGGGATGAATAAATTGTACAAAGTGAAAAATTAGAAGTAGATGTGCTTACATTTACATATCTTTGTTGTTGTTGTTTGACTTTTTTCATTTTTACCCTTTCTCTTTCTATTTTCAGAATATGAGTGATGCTATGGCAATCTTGCACAAACTACAGACAGGCTTGGATGTAAATGTAAAATTCACTGGTGTTCGAGTATTTGAATATACTCCAGAGTGCATAGTATTTGATCTTCTTGATATTCCTTTGTACCATGGGTGGTTAGTGGATCCTCAGGTAAGTAGAAAATTTTAAATTATATAAACTCCAATGTAGTAAAATTTTATTAATTGGGCAAATTAATCTAGATTTATGTTTTCTGATACTTATATTTTTATGCTTTTTCCTGGAATTAGCCAAATTGTGAGGTTAAGGACTCAGTCCTCCAGACTGCTAAGCCTGCCCAAGACTCCTGAGTAATTTCAAGGAATTAGGGGCTACATCCCTACCAACACTTGTTATTATCTGTCTTTTTGAATATAGTCATCCTAGTAGGTGTAAAGTCATATCTCATGAATTTATTTGCATTTCTCTGATGACTAATGATGTTGAGCATCTTTTCATGTGCTTATTGGCCATTTATATATCTCTTTGGAGAAATGTCTGCAGAACCCTTGCCCATTTTTAATTGGACTATTTGTCTATTTGTTATTGAGTTGCAAGAGTTCTTTATATATTCTAGGTATAACTCTCTTGTTAGATATATGATTTGCAAATATTTTCTTCCATGCTATGGGTTGTCTTCACTTTCTTGATGATATCCTTTCAAAAAAGTTTTTAATTTTGATGAAGTCCAGTTTATGTTTTTCTTTTGTTGCTTATGCTTTTCGTGTCCTACCTAAGAAGGCTTTGACTAACCCAAAGTCACAAGGATTTACCCCTATATCTTCTTCTAATAGTTTATTGGTTTTAATGCTTAGATTCAGAAGTATGACCCATTTTGAGATGATTTGTGTGTGTGGTTTGAGGAAGGAATCCAATTTTATTCTTTTGCATGTGGCTATCCACTTGTTTTAGTATGGTTTATAGAAAAGATTATTCTTTCCCCCGTTGAATTGTCTTAGCACTCAAAGTGATCTTTGTAAAATAAACCCTCCCCTTTATCCCTTTGCTCTTCTCCTTTCCTTAAAAGCCTCCAACGTAACTAAAATAAGATGCAAAATCCTTTATTAGAGTTTTTATGATAATGCTACATGATCTAGACAGACTTGGCTTATCTGTCCAAATTCACCTCATATAATTCTCCTACTTTTTACTACCCTCTAATTACACTAACTGCGTTTCTGTTCTTCAGACATGTCAAATTCATTCCTATCTTGGATTTTTGTAGTAGTTGATTGCCCACTGTGGAACACTGTTCTACTACCCTAATACATTGTTCTCCCAGATCTTCACATTTCTAGTTCCTCCTTATTCATTCAGGCCTTAGGTCACATTTCACATTGTTAGAGAGACCCTCCCTGACCAACTTAATTGAAATTAGTCACTCTCCTTTACTCCAGTCATTTCCTCTCCCATTACCCTATTTGATTTTCTTTTCCACTTATCTAGAATTATTATTTATTTCTTTACTTGATTGACTGTCATCTCCCACTAGAATGTATGTTTTATTAGGACTGGGCTCTTATTTCTGATTACTTAGAACAGTGCTCTGAACATAGTAGGTTCTCAAATATTGACTGATGGAATGACGTTTGCATGTAGGCATGCATTAACTACAGGGTAGAGAGTACAATAGCAAGGACTTGGCAGTGTTTCTTTATCCCTGACTGTTGATAAAAGCAGCTGGTATTCTGGGCAATGAAAGGATGTTTTACTGTAAGCAGGGTACCTGTATTTTTATTGACATTCTGTCTTTAAGAATATCACTGAAAATTCTAAACATGTCAGCATTTTACATATCCAAGGTGAGACATGTTGGATGCTGGCAGATGACATTGCTAGGTAGCTTAGATTCTTGAGAATGAGCTGATGGCCTGAGGAATTTAAGCCTGAGTTCTTAAAATTGGACTCAGATTATCCCTCTGACTATATGTAGCTATATGTTTTGGTAAACAGTTAAATTCATATGCTTAAAGAAAAAAATGTGATATAGGACAGAGATGGTTCATCAGACTTTTCTGATCTACACAGTGGTTTTCAAAGTCTTGTGCTTTATATCTATTTTACTTGTTTTGTGACCAAAGGATTCTGCTGCTAGGAAAGAAAAAAAGAACAAGGCAAAGTTTGAAATTATAGGTCTGTGAAATACCTTCCAGAACTGGCTAGTTCCTTGTTTTCTGATTATGTGCTTTGCAAATAATTATCTTAAAAATAAACGTCATCAGTTCTCTGAATGGTGTGTACCAAAATTCAGCCACTAAGAAGGTATTTCTCCATTATTAATTGGTAACTAGCTCTTTAGGAGCAACACTAGAAGCCAGATGACAGTGGAAGTGATATATTCAGTGTGCAGAAAAAAGACAAATGCTAACCTACAATCCTGTTCCCAGAAGAAGGGAGTAAAATTTCTTAGATTAATTAAATTAAGATAATTTCCTGCTGGTAGACCATCATTAATGGAAACTCTAAACAAGGATTTTGAGAAGGAAAGTGATCCCAGATGGAAGGAAGAGTTGAATGGAAAGAAAATAACATGATAAATATGTGGACAAATAATAAATGTTGACTGTATCAGATAAGAACATTATCTTTTGGGGTTTAAATAAAGAACATTACCATATACAAAAAATAACATAAGTTGGGAGGAAAGTGTTCTAAGGGCCTAGAATTAATTCTTCAAGAAGAGGGTATTAACTTCTTACTTTGATATGGTAGGAGTAGATGTTATAATATCTATAATTTCTCTGTTCAATATGGTAGCCAAGTAGAGCTGTTTAAATTAACTAAAAATTTAGTTCCTGAGTTGCATTAGACTCATTTCAATTGTTCATTAACCACAAGTGGCTAATGGATATCTTATTGGGCAGCACAGATTTGGAATATTTCTATTATTGCAGAATATGCTTTAGGATATTGCTTTTTTAGAATAACCATGAAAAGAATAGAAAACATAGTGGGTAACTTCTAGATTAGTAGAAGGGGAAAAATCAATCAATCCAAGAACAAAGAAGAGGTAAGGGAATATTGAACCTGTTAGGATAGAGAGAATGGTAGATTTAATAAATCCTAATATATGAATAATTATAGTAAATATAAATAGGACTAAATCCTCTAGTTAAAAGATAGTGATTCTGAGGCTTGATTCATATATATATATATATTTGCTGTTTACAAGAGACATATAAAACAATATGAAATGAAACAAAAAGATTGAAAGTAAAAAAAGGAAAATAAAAAGAGATGCCATACAATTGCTAATCAAAAGAAAGCTGGTGTACCTATAGTAATTTCAGAAAGAATAGACTTAAATTTTAAGTCAAAAAGCATTACTAATGATAGGTTGTTTAATTTGCTAAGAAGATATAACCATTTTAAATTTGTATGTGCCTGGAGATACCTGGAAAGTAAAAAAACCCTGATTGACTGTTCATTCCTTGGACCCATGGGAACTGTCGCAAAGAGTAAAGGTCAGTTTTTGACAATGAAAAACAACATTTATATGCATCGAATAACATAACTTCAAAGTACATAAAGCAAAATTGAATAGAATTATAAGAAGAAATAGGTCATCATATTAGAAAATTTTAATATACCTTTCTTTATAATTGTTAAGAGCAGAAAATAAAACCTAATGAACATACATTCTTCTAAAAGAATTTAATAAACTTTGTAAATGATTTCAGAAACAGGAAAGTTGCAAAAAGACTACAGAAAATTCCCGTATACTCTTTACCCAGTTTCCCCTAGTCTTACGTGACCATAGTGCTACATGTGTCAAACCGTAGAAATTTAATATTGGTGCATTGCTATTAAATATATTACAGTCTTCATTCACATTTCACCCATTTTTCCACTAATTTTTTTGTTGTTGTTCCAGAATCCTATCCAGGGTATCACATTGCACTTAATCATCTTATCGTCCTAGTCTCTTCCTATCCATGACAGTTTTTCAGTCTTTGTTTTTCATGAACCTGGCTATACATTCTTTTTATACAGATGAAATTTGAGATTTCAAGACTAAATTTATAAAGATGTCAGTTCTCTCTAAAATAAATTATAGTTTCAATACAACCCCAAACAAAATCCCAGCAGATTTGTGAGGAGTAGTTGTGGAATGTGACAAGTTCGTTCTGTAATTTATATGGAAATGCAAAGAGCTGGAATAGAAGCCAAGATATTCTTGAAGCAGCAGAACAAGTAGGAAGGACTTGCTCTTCTAGATACAAAATATTTTAAATATTATAATTAAGAATTAGAACAATGACAGAGAATAGAGAGGCCAAAAAGACCATATATATATATATATATATATATATATATTTCTGTATATATATAGAAATAGGGCACTGTAGAGCAGTGGGGGAAGGAAAAGGCAGTCGTTTCCATAAAAGGTGCTAAGACAGATAGCCATTAGATATACAGTTAGAGAGAAAGCCAATTCAAATTTCTAATTAGATACCCAATTAGAAAAAAATGAAATTGTTTCCCCAAACTCACACCATAAAATTCTGTGCCATGTACATTGATGTTTAACTGGAAAAGACAAAACTGCATTAGTTTGAGAATATGTTTCTAACCTTAATGAGGGAAAAGGGTTTCTAAAACAAGACAAAAACATTAACCATGAAGAGCGTTGGTAGAACATGACTACATTAAAATTGAGAGTTTCTGTTTATCTAAAGAAATCCCAATGAGAATGTAAAAGTAAGCCACAAAGTAGAAGATGATTGCAACTTATATTGTGAATAAATGCTTACTATCCAGAGGACATAAAGAGCTCCTGTGGGTAATTGTTTTTTAAGATAGACAACCCAGTAAAAGAGGAGCAAATGACTTTGAACGGGCATTTTACGTAAATGGATATCCAAATGGCCAATGAACATAAGAACTAGTCATCAGGGAAATGCCAATTAAAACCAAAATGAGATACCATTGTACACCCAATAGAATGGCTAACTTTTAAAAGTTTGACAATACTAAATGTTGGCAAAAATATGCAATGTAGAGAATTCTCATTGCTGCTGACGAGAATGTAAATTGGCTGTCTACTTTAGAAAACAGTTTGGAGTTACCTAGTAAAGTTGAAGATAAGCATATCCTAAGACTCACCAATTTAACAAGGTACATTCCCTAGAGAAACTCTTGAAATATGGAACAGGATAAATGTACAAGGATGTTCATAGCAGTATTACCTATTATACACCCAAACTGAAGACAACTTAGATAACCATCAAAAGATGAATAAATAAATACATTATGGTATAGTCATATTATGGAACACTAAAGAAAAATGAAAACAAATAACAGCTGCATGTCACTACATACAACTACCTAGCATATTATATATTTGCTTATTTGGTTTATTGTTTGTCTTTGTTCCAGAATATAAATTTTATAAAAGCATAGACCATCTATTTTGTTCACTGCGAAGTCTGCAGTTTCTCTAACAGTACCTGGTACATAGTAGTGCATAAATGGCACCCAAATGAATTAATTGAATGAAATATTAATATAGATTCAGTCTATGAAAACTTGAAATTTTGTATTGTTCATTGCTAGTCTATAGAAGTACAATTGATTTTTATATATTGATCTTGTATTTACTGTTCTAGTTTTATTTTTATGGATTCCTTAGGATTGAAAATTCAGATTCTTTGGGAAGACAATGAAGTTGACCCACTAAAGAAAATTGCTCTAAACAATAAAAGTGTTAAGAAAAATAATGAAAATCTAAGAGATTGTGCCCTCAAATTGCTTCTTAAGGGTCTAAGTTTTTATTCTAAATGAATCAAAGCTGGAAGTCATACTCTTTTGTGTGATTTACATAGACTTATAGCCAAAAGATCATCTTTGAAAGAAAAGACCTTATTTGGCTCTACATCAAAAGATTGACAAGTGACTATATTCGTTTGTTTTTAATTAACATGAAATGTTTATGATATATATATAACATTTTCCACAATTCTCTGCTTTGACTTTTTCAATTAACTGGTCTTCCCAACCAACCATCATTTCCACTTGCATGGTTAAGAGGCTTTTACCATCCTAGAATTTTGCAGAAACAAAGAAAATAAATTCTAGCCTAGAGCAGAACCATTGTTCTCCAACTTTGCTATGCAGCAGTGAAATAAAACTTAGACAACTGAAAAGCAACTTGAGCCTGGAATTCTTTTAGATCTTTTTAACAAGCTCCCCATTTTGGGGACCACTGTCCAGAGTATTATTTGTGCAGATATATGTCAAGATTTGTGGTATTCAAAGATTAAATATTCAAGAAGATCATTTGGATGTGGAACGAAAACATTGGCCCTCTAATTTTTTATATTATTATATTAATTTGTACTTGTTTTATTATGCATATGTCATTAGTACAGTAATACATATAAATAATTTAGAAGTATATTTTAGGGATGGGAAGGCAATCAAAATAAGTTGTTTAGACAGCAGAAACTTATTTTTCTTTAATAATCAAAGCAAAGTATAATGGAGGAAGAGTAAAAAATGCCCAATTTTATTTTCCTATAGCTTAAAACTTTGAATTTATTTTCCTACTGTACCTCCAAAGATAAAGATTAAATAAGAATCATTAGGCAAATACTGTCCCTCATTAATATAGTATGTTAACTTCAGGAAAATAAGGTTAGTTATGTCTACTCATATCTCCACTATACTTTGCTAGGAAGTAAATAATAAATAAAATGGAAAACTTTAATCCAATAAATTAACATCTGTAGATTTGCCTTGCTTTAAATACAAAATATTTGTGTTTTAGTAAAAAAAATAAATAACTGAGATTTTCTTATTTTTCCTCTGAAATAGTTTACTTTTTATTGCAATCACTTAAATGCATCTTTAAGACCTTAAGAAATAAAGTTGCATGTTATAATCCCATTTAATTATTTTTTTCATAATTGAAATACAGCTGAGCAATAATTTTCATAATGTTATAGTTGTAAACAAAATTGAATCTGTTGAGTATTGATTTTAGTACTGATTTTTTTCAAAAGTAATATTTGTATATTTAGCATTGTATTAGAATACCCTAAAGACTTTATAGATTTCTTTGTTATTGTTTTTAATCTTATCATGATTAGTGAGACAGTCATTTGTTTTCTAGATTGATGACATTGTAAAAGCTGTTGGTAACTGCAGCTACAACCAACTAGTGGAGAAGATCATCTCTTGTAAGCAGTCAGACAGTAGTGAGCTGGTTAGTGAAGGTGGGTGAGTGCTACTACTACCTGACTTACTCTTGGCAAAGTGACTTCTCTGATAATTTAATATCTTTTAAATGTCTTAATTAAGTAAGACTTATAAAAAAATACAAGTGATGCTACTTGTAGGAATTAAAAGAAGTAGTTATTCATAAAAGTGCCAGTGAAAGGTTTTTCCTAGAACCCTTTTCATTTGACTTGTAAAATCAGGCCTGGATTTTAATAAAAGTCTTTGGACTCTTGCTAGTTTTGATATGGTCTGTTACCCAGGGTTTACTGATAATTGCTCTTTTTAAAAAGGATTATTATTTGGGAGCACTATGTGAATTTTATAATTCATCCTGAACACTTCAGTTGACCAAGATGAGTATTATGATACTTAAGTGTTCATTTTAGTAGAGCTCTGCCTTATGTTTTATTACAATCTAGTATACTAAAGCTCTATTCCAGATCAAAGTATACCTCTAATCATCAATTTCTCTAATCGTCAGCTAATTAAAATTGCTAAATTCATCATCATAGAAGCAGTTTAATATTTTTTCAGCTGTGTTCCCGCCAGTGAAGGGAAGAACAGATTTGAAACCAGAACGGTTATCAGTACCATAGCATTCGGATATACGAGTACCTTCCCCACCACCCACTTCACTTTTTCAAAAATATGCTCAAATACTGAAACTGCTATTCTCCTCTGTTTGAAGGGTGAACAAAATAAAGAGAAATCATGAGAAGCAGGGGGTGAGCTACATTGTTCTAACATACTTTTTTACATAAGGTGTAATAAAAGTTGATTACAATTACCACATTTTAAAATTAAAACTAAGTTACTACAAGAGTATATGAGAACATACAAAAAAAGATGTGTACACGAATACCATACTATATTGACTAACCAGAACCCAACTAATTATATTACTCAATTATCCATAAGTTTAACATGTTTATGCAAGAGGCAAGTAGCAAGAAAATACACAGTGTTTTACTTGAGGCTTATCCTAGTCTACTTGCAATAAACTTACAAATGTATAGAAATATTGATCATTGATTTGTATGACAGCTCTTTCACTACAACCTAAGGCAGCAAACTTTAAATTTTAAATTTAAATTTAGGGGGGAGAGGAGCAACAAAAGCTATTAAAATATTTCTCTCAGTTAACAAAATTCCACTCACTAGAACTTATCCAAGCTCCCTCTCATTACTGTAAATATAGTCTAAAAAAAGCAGGCTATAAAGAAAATTTCCATCTGTGGATTCCTGCTTTCTCAGTAACTTCTAATATGCTATTCAATGGTAATTGAAGGAAATAATAGGATTCAGAAAGTGTTAACAGATGGAATAGCCATGAAGTGATAGCCCGGTGAACAGACTTATAGGGTAAGAGGCTATAGGAAACACTGTTAACAGCATTTTTCCCAAGCCAGGCTGCAAATAACAAGGTAGGACTTAGGTAATGCATTAATTAACAAATGAATAACAGCAACAAAAACCCAGTCCCTTTTTGTTACAACTATTTGTTACAACTGTTAATGTTACAACTATTATTATTTCTCTGACATTGATTCCCCAAGATAATGAAAAATAATAGCTGATATATATATAGTATTGATAACTTGAGAAGGATATTTTAGTAAAAGCAAGGAAAGAATTATCCTCTTTAGTGGTACAGAATTTTCAGGTAACATATATCAGTATTGATTAACTCCTTGATATATAAATTTTGTAATGGTGAAATTCTGTATATTAGATTTCCATATCAACGAATAATTACATATGGAATTCACTACAATTAAAAAGCTAAGCTAGGGTCAGCCAAGTGGCATGTTGGTTAAGAAGTGGCTTGGGATGCCAGAGGGCCCCGGTTCGGATCCCACATATGAGGGCCAGTGACACTGCCCTCTACAGCTAAGATGCTGAACAACAGCTCAACCTGGAGCTGGGCTGTCATGAGTCGCTGGCGACAGTGTAGGCTGCAGTCCCCTGCTGCAGTGGGTTGCCATGGGCTACCGTGTGTAGCCAGCAGCCAGCATGAGCGGCCAGCAGCCGCCATGAGTGGCTGTCCAAAGGCCGGCGACTGATCTGCCTCACCTGGGAAGAGCGCAATGATGGTGCCAGCTTGGGCCAGTGAAGCAACATCCTCCACAACTAGACTGAAGAACAAAAGGACAGCAACTTGTCTGTTCCCCTCCCCCAATTTCCCAATAAAATCTTTAAAAAAAAAAAAAAAAAAGAAAAACCTAAACTAGTTTTTTGTTTATAAGAAACTACAAATGTGTAGTCTGTTTGAAATAATTACTTAACCAATGGTTACCTATATAAGGTACTATGAAATATAGGAAAGAAAAGGCCACAAGGGACATTTTTATTTATAATGTAGCAATTAGCTTCCCTCTGTCATTTTCTTCATCATATTTTCTCGGGTACAGTGTTCAACTGAAATAGTCTGCTTTCTTTTCTATATAGCCTGCAACTGTAACTTTCCTTCTTATTCAGTAAAACAGCCAAAAGGTGGTTTATTTCTAATCCTTCTTTATTAAAAAGAATTAAACTTTGGTCTTAGATGGTAACTATATATTTTAAATTCAAATATTTCATTTTTATAAGGTACATAATATTAGAAATACCTTTACTATCATTTTTTGATTAAAAATGTTATTTAGCTGACAGTCAAATAGAATTAGATAGTCTTCCAACTTCTTTCTGATGACATTCATTTTCTTTTGATGACAACACCTTATAAGTAAAAATATAAAACTTTTACATGTACATAGAGTCCATATTATTGGCTATCTGGGTGTTAATACTTCCTTGAGTCTAGTTATAATGATGGGTTGTGGCATAGCAGCAAAAATCAACAATGAAAAGAATAGCACGGTACCAGCTGCCAGACTTCACCAGAGCTGGTCATTTAATTCCAGATGCTCTCTCAGGAATAATTTCTTCTTTCACAATTGTTTCTAGGTAAAAAATATGCTTAAAGAAATAATTGCAGAATATTCATTTATTCAAATATTTATTGAGCCTTTATTATGTGCTACAAACATGGAAAATTCATATTTTTATTGAATAATATTGATTTCCTTTTCTTTTTTCTTTTATTTTGAAAAATCTCAAACCCATAAAAAAGTTGGAATAGCACAATGAATACACACACACACACACACATATTTATATATGCTTCACCTAAATTCACCAATTATTAACATTGAATTTTTACTTTCTATTCTCTCTCTCTCCCTCTCTCACCTTTTTTCTTAAAATCTTGTGAGAATTAGTTGCAAATATCATAGCACTTTACCCATTTATACTTCAACACTTGTCTCCTAAGAACGAAGAATTCTCCTATATAATCACCACACAATTATCTCAGAAAATTTATCATTAATACAATACTATTATGTACTATACTGTTCATATTCAAAATTCCCCAGTTGTCCCAATAATGCCCTTTATAGCTTTTAAGTTTTTCAATGTAGGTTTTAATCAAGGATCATGTAATTGGCATATTTAGTCTCTTAAAATCTAAAACAAATCACTAACCTTTTGTCTTTCTTTTTTTCTTTTTGTTCTTTGGTGTTGTTGACTTTTCTTAATAGTCTAGGCCAGTTTTGTAGAATAGTCCTTAATTTGGATTCATGTGACATTTTCCCCATAAGCAGATTTAGATTATACATTTTTGGTGGGAATATTACATACGTGACATTGTGTTTCCCAAGTGCATCAAATGAGGTGGCACATGATGTCTGATTATTCTATTATTGATGATGTTCATATATGATTAAGGTGGTATCTGCCAGATTTTTTTGTTGTAAAAATGCCCTTTGCCTTTTGTAATTAATAGTAATCTTTGCTGTTATGCTTTGAAACTGTATGAATACCCTGTTGCCTAATAATCTTTCACCCAATAGAGTTGGCATTCATTGATTCATGCCTGAATCAACTATTACTATGGTGGTTATGATAGTTCTATGATTGCTTCTACATTTACTAGTTGGCATTCTTCTGTAAAAAATAGTTTTCTCTTCTCCATTAAAATTTTTTTTTATTCAATGTAGACTCATGGATTGTTTCTTTATTTTTTTTTATTTTATTTATTTATTTATTTTTTTGTAGAGGGCAGTGTCACTGGCCCTCATATGTGGGATCCGAACCGGGGCCCTCTGGCGTCCCAAGCCAGTTCTTAACCATCTCACCACTCGGCCGGCCCGGGATTGTTTCTTATTCAGTGTGTTACGAATCACTATTATATTTATTCTTTTTGATGCTTAGAATTTTCCTATATATGACCAATGGGATATTTTCAAGTTGGATCCCATGTTCTTTTGACATCTTCATCATTTCTTGAGCACTTCCTTGTTTTCTATCACAATAAGATGTTTTGGGCTCCCTGTGGCATCCCTGGAATCAAATCATATCAGCCCCTATATTTTCAAAGAAAATCGGGCCATTTGTTATATTATAATAAAAGATATTTTTTGTCCCATCCTCTTGAGTGAAAATATTCATATAATGTGTTCGATTTTTGAAACTTTACATAAATGAATTTAAAAAGAAAATCAGACCATTTGTTTAAAGCAATCACAGTGACATAGTTAAATTATGATTGAGTTTAAATTTGAACACAAATCTCAGGCAGGGGTACATCTAGCCAACATTATAAAATAAGCCAAATTTCCTTTTATCCTATTTCCTCTTTTTGTTTCTTTTTGCCTAATTTAGTGCCCCTCTTTCTAACTTCACATCCTTTATAGCACTCAGTACTTTCATAGTCTAGTAACTCTAATAATAGTGGAAAATAATTTGGTAAACTAACTTAGTATTGAATTTCTGAAACTAATATTTTCAAACCTTAATGTCAGGAAAATAATTTAAATTTATTCTCAGTAATATTTTATCATTATATTTTTTTCTTTAGTATCATTAATGACAATATCTATAACAAAATAGAAATTTAATCTAAATGTTGCAAATAACTATTTGTCATTTGAAGCAGCAATGGAGATAAATACACTGCTATGTAACACTTAGAATTGTTTACCAAAGTTTGTTTAATTAATTATGAAAAGCTGAAACGAGAATAGGCTTTTGAATATTCCACTAAAATCACAGGATTGTCACTGTTTAAGAGTTGGTAGAAGAATTAGGAAATATTGTTCTCTATATGTCTAAATTATTTTGCCTTGTGGTTTAAGGAGAAATTCAGTTTGCATTTGTAATAATAAGCACTAACGTTTTTAAATTAATACCAATAATTCTCCTGGGTTTCAGTCTTTTCCATATGTAGTTTTGTCCTTGAACAAGTCACTTATTCTTTCTGATCCTCTGTCCTGTTCTATAGCAAGACCTTTCTAATGTTGAATTTTTAAATTTCACACACATAAAAGTAATGTTGTGCTATATCCTCACTTTTTGTGTCTTTTTGATAGGGATTTGTAGAGAGAATGTTGTGTGAGTGAGGTGTGTGATGGGCATTTACAAACATCTTTCTGAAGGAAGTATTTACTAACACTGATATTATAGACAGCAGTGGTACTTTTCAGCATGGCATTATACTTAAATTTTAAATGCTATATAATAATAAAGTGCCTTAGTATATAACCCATACATTCTACTCAGTAACTTAGTACTTAGCAAAGTAATGATAATAACAGGGAGAACTCTTATTTCTAAATGTATAATCCCGAAGAGATGCAATGTGCTATAAATTTCCTTTGGCTATGGCCTTCTGTATAACTTTTGGCACTTCCCCTCCTACGTTAACCAATTCTTTGGAATAGTGTGATATGAGGTCTGACAATTAAGTTCACGAACTTTGTTGCAACGATGTTGTTTAACCTTTTTTGATAACAGAGGGATTATTCATTATGAATTTGTACCAACTTGACAAACAGTTAACCAAGTTTACTATTTGGAAGTGCTAAAAAGGCTGCATGAAAAAAGACGAAAACGACCTGAACTTTTCTCCAATAAATTCATGGCTCTTGCATCACTACAATGAACCAGCTCACACGGCACTGTCTGTGACGGAGTTTTTAGCCAGTAAACAAATAACTGTATTAGAACACCCTCCCTGCTCACCTGATCTGGTCCCCAGTGACTTCTTTCTTTACCCAAAGACAAAGGAAATATTGAAAGGAAGACATTGTGATGACATTCAGGACATCAAGGGTAATATGACGACAGCTCTGATGGCCATTCCACAAAAAGAGTTCCAAAATTGCTTTGAAGGGTGGACTAGGCGCTGGCATAGATGCATAGCTTCCCAAGGAGAGTACTTCGAAGGTGACCATAGTGATATTCAGCAATGAGGTATGTTGCACTTTTTCTGCGATGAGTTCACAAACTTAATTGTCAGACCACGTATATTGGTAACTTTTTACAACCACTTTACAGCTTGACATTAAGGGTGAGGGATGGAGAGGGAGTGGAATAAACCTATACTCTCCAGCTGCCTCTGGCCCTACCAAGTTTGTTTTCAATTTCTTGTTGACGTGTCAATTTTTTAGTACGGGTTCATCTTTACTCCCTATATTTGCACGTCTGTTCACTTAAAAAATATTTTAGAGCACTCTCTTCCCCCCTATTGTTTCTGAGACATAACAAAAGGACGGAGAGAAGGAAAGAAGAGAAATCAGGCTCTTAAAATATTATACAGTCGATTCTCATTATTCCCAATAGTTATGTTCTATAAAGTTGCTGAATTAAGTGAATACTAAACCACTGCTCCTAGGGGAAACACAAGATTAGGTTCCTGTGAGCCTCTGGTCAAAAGATTTGCATCAACTGGTAAATACATAGTCTTGGTTTATGTGTATTTCTGTTTAGAGACACCTTATTTAATATATGTTGTTGATTCACAAACGTTAAACTTATGGCCAACATCACTATAACTCGTTTGAGCAAAGGTGCAAAAATATGTGTTTTCTCCATAAGACACATCACAGCCTTTGTGCACTTAGGAATACTAACCAGCACTTCTGCGATATGCTCAGAGGCCATTTTTTTTATACACAGTAAAAATCAATCCCCCAACAAAGCACAAAAATGTGAAGAATGTGGCACTAAATAGGCTCTGTGAAAAGGACACTTGTTTACAGTATGAGAGCTGAAAAGAGAAGGCAGTGTTGCCTTGTTTGACCTCAGTGGGGAATGTGTAAGTTGGGTGACTATTTTTTTGTCATTTTGCACATATCCAGGAATGACCCTGAATGCACAGCAAGTATTGATTTTGGAGTTAAAATTTTAAGTAGTAGGCAAATTTTCAAATATAAACCTGCACCAATAAGGAGGATCAACTATACATATATCTTTTAAATTAAACCCCAGAAAACTTTCTTTCATTACGTTTTAAAACAAAAGAGATCATTTCTATTTCTGAACTTAATATTTCTACGTAATACAATAATATATCTAAAGTGGCATATGTTGGAGGAGATTAGGATAAAAATGGCATCAATTATCCTACTGTTTTCTGTTCAATTTTATGCCTACTTTTAGTTTTAAGGCAAGAATTGAGCAGTTTGTGAATTGAGGATTATCTGAGAGCTTTGTTAAAATCAAGCAAGTCAATTTGTTAAGGCTACTTTTAATTTCTAAACATCTATCCATTGGGGAAGTAGCTGTTGACATACATCTTAAGCTCCTATGCACTTTTTAAATTGCTAACTCTTGCCTTCTTATTTCTTTTAATGGGTTTTAGTTTTATTGTGTCTGTGTGTTTTGTTGTAAGCTGCCTGAAATCCTTTTTGGAATTAGGTGAAGTATAAGTAACTACAATAATTGATTTAAAAAAATTCATGTAACTGTTTCTTTAGGATGGGAATGTCTGTAGACACATCTTCCAGAGTAAAAAAGTAGAGTCTCCAATTTGGGGCCATCGTGTTATAGTAGGAAAGTCTTATTTTGACTGGCCTTTCTTCATACAATGTAAATAGACAATCTTTTTAATTTTGAAGTTATTCTTCCATCTAATATTATGCATTTATTCCATAGGCTTTGTAGCTGAGCAGTTTCTAAATAACACAGCCACCCAACTGACATACCATGGATTATGTGAACTAACGTCAACAGTTCAGGAAGGAGAACTTTGTGTGTTCTTTCGGAATAATCATTTTAGCACCATGACCAAATACAAGGTATGATATAGAAATAGCTATTCAACTGTTATTTGAAATTAAAGGAGCTTGGTTTAGAGATGTCTTATGATCTGCTTCAAACAAACAAAAAAAATTAGCATAATATTCCTTAACCATCAAATGATGAAGTTAATTATTAAATACTTCTTTAGGATAGAATGAATTAACCATTTAAGTGTTTTTTTCAAATCAGTTTTTGCTTTTATTTAAGTCTGAACTACTTTTTCACAGATTACTTACGGCATTAAAACGTATTATTTCCTTTTTAAGAAAAAAGAAGATAAACCCTAGAGATAGAATTAGGATGACTGCTAATGGTAGATGCTTATATTTGAGGGCTAAAGGAGTTTAGAAGAAGGAATCAAGATTTGTCTTTATGATAGTGTTTGCTATTATTAAAGTTATCAGTATGACTTTAAATTCTTATGCCATCTATGGCTCTGCCAAAAAAATTTTACCGATTCATCCCTTTTGTTATCTCTTTATTCCTTCCCTTCATTTTTACAGCTGCCACCTAATTCAGGAGTATATCAATTTATACCTAAACTTCTGTGATAGAATACTACTCTGATCGTGTCAGTAATATAGCAAAAATGTTCAGTAGCACCTAGTACATAGAGGATAACAATGCAAGATATTTTCTACTCTCCCCCGATGCTAACACTTTGCTTCAGCCATAGTGGTCTGCCTACTTATTGATAATCCTCCTTCCCCATACACACTTCATGCTTTTCTATTTCTGCACCTTTACTGTCATTTATTACTGCTTACTCCCTATTTGAAAAGATCATTTCTTTTTGCCTATCCAAACTTTACCTTTTAAGAAGCATTTCAAATACCAGCTCTTTAGTAAAGCTACTTCTCTCCTTAAACCAATGGTTCTCAACCCAGCTTGCATGCTAGAACTACCTAGGGAGCTTTTTAAATAATACCAATGCACAGAGTCCACCATCAACTCAAATCAGAGTTCCTGGAGCTGGAACCTGAGCATCAGTATTTTTTAGATGCTCCCAGGTGATTTGAATGTGAAGGTAAGGCTAAGGCTGAGGATCACTACTCTACCATCCTTTTCTAGCTATTATGGGCCATAGCATCCTTACCCTTACTGAAGAATACCTAGTTACTAGTTTTTTGTAAATGTGTCTTATTTTTCTAAATGAAAGTAAGCTTATTAAAGTCAGGAATCAGGTCTTCATCTTTACTTCAACCTTTTAATCAATGAACTGCACAAAGGAGTGTAAAGAATGATGTGTTTGCTTTCATAAGAATACTGTAAAGCTCTAGCTCTCCTACTCCTGTATCAGCTATAACAAGGGTTCATTTTATTGCTCCCACATTTGAGCTAGATGTATGCTAGGTATGGGCTCAGAGTCATCCATATGCCTCAGAAATCTAAGGCCAGAGAACCTCAGGATCAGAATTATTGCTACATAGTAAATACTGCTAAGTCGTCTTGCCTTACCTGATCTCTTCAAGCCCACACTTTATTCGTTCATTTCACAAATAACTATTGAGCATGATTATGTCAAATATCTATTGAGCCTGATTTTGGGTGCTCAGCTCAGTACTAGGACCACAGCCTGAGCAAGGCAGCTATGGTTCCTTCCATTTAAGGATTTCTTATTTTGGCAATGGACAGATGTTAAATAATTACACAATTAGTTACTTCCATTGAAATATGCTCTGTAAAGGGTATATACAACATGCTGTGAGTGCTTTTATCAGGACTTATCACATAGTTGAGGATGTCAGGAAAGACTTCCTTGAGAAGTAACATTTAAACTGAGACCTGAAAAATGAATCTTCTTAATCAGTTAGCAAAAAAAAAAAAGGGGGTGGGGGTTAACTAAGCAGATGGAATATGGGTGCAAAGGCCCTGAGGAGGGAGAGAACTTAACTCTTCCTTAGAATCGAAAGAAGACCTGTGTGGCTGAAGCATAGAAAATAAGAGTCATGAAATAAGGCTAAAGAGATAGGCAGGTACCAGATCTTGTAGTCTTGAAATAAGAGGAGAAACCGACCTTGATCTCCTATGGCCTAGTGGTTCTTTTTGTTCTCTCTTTCGGACGCAGCAGGAACAAGATAGTTCACTGGGAAAACAAGGTCTCTGGCTATCATTGGTGGTTGTTATACCACCTCCCAAAACAGCTCTGGGTGTTCCCTTTTCTCTCCAAGGCATATCCCTGACCAGGAAGTCCTTTGCTAGCCAGCTAGGTATTCCCAGTCTTCCTGTGCAGTTGGGGAGGAGGTGCCTCTCCTGGAGTACTTTCTATCATGTGTCTGTTTGGAGACTAACTATGCCTTTCTGGGAAATAATGATAGCTCAGAGAACGTGTGCATTCTACTTCTCTGCTTCTAAGTTTTTCTCAGTAAACCTTATTCTATAGTTAAAGTGTATCACTATTGGTACGTTGTCTCCTTGCCCCATGTACAACATTAAAGTGCTTTGGACTTTCAGGCAAGAGTGGATGGGGATTTAGTTAGACTATTACAGGAGGCCAAGTAAGAAGTTACAGTGACTTGGAATAGAATGGTAAAGAAATGGGGACTAGACAGATTCCATAGACATTTCAGAGATGTAATCAACCAGATTTGTGATTAGGATATGAACAATAAGAATGATTTCTGGGTTCTGAGCATGAACAACTGGATGAATACTGGTGCTCTTTATTGAAACAGAGAATACTGGAAGAGGAGAAGAAAGATATCATGAAATCAGCCTTTGTTATAGCTGTTTCTGAGGCGTGCTTCAAGTGGAAATGTTGGGAAAATTGTTAAAGACTAGAATAATTTTTGTGTACAAATAGTAATTTGGGGAGAGGATGAGATTTACAAGAAAAATATGGAATGAGAAGAAACAAGAAGGCCTAGGACAGAGATTTGAAAAGTGCCAACATTTAAGGATCAACTAGAGGAGTATGAACTAGCAAAGAAGACTGAGAAAGAAAAGAATAAAAGGAAAATCTGAAGAATATGGTATCATGTAAGTCAACAGGGAGAGAGTGTTTCAAGAAGAATGGAGATTTCAGTTGTTAAATGCTGAGGACATAGAGCACTGGGGGATGAGGGAAAGTATCCATTAGCAATATGGATTTAATTGGTATCTTAGAGAATGGTGGCAGCAGAAAAAAACTGAATTTGAATTGGTTAAGAAGTAAGTGGGGTGTCAGGAACCAAAAACAGATTATAAGCAACTCTGAAACAATTTGTTGGTGAAGGGGCATAGACATAATGGCTCATAGCTATAGTGGGGTGTAGAAACCAGGGAGGGTTTTTGGTTTTGTTTTTTAGTATGAGAGACTTGATCATGTTTATTGAAGGACTCAACAGAAAAAGGCTGAAGATTTAGGAGAGGAGATAATTGATGTTAGAATGCTCCTAAAAAGGTGAGAAAGGATAGAAATTTTCACAGGTGACGGGGATTGAATCTTGATTAAAAAAAAGAGATCTCTTCATTGTAAAGGAGGGAAGAAGTAGACTATGTGTACAGTTACAGGTAAATTAATAGATTTGATGTCAGGAAGTAGAGAAAGTCACTGCTTGAATGCTTCTGTTTTCTATATTATGTGGAAGGCAAGATCATTTACTGAGACTGAGTAGGGGTGGGAAGGTTTGGTTTCACATTTGAAGAAGGAAAGTTTAAAGTAGTCTTTACAGCACAAGGGAAAAAGCTCTAACTACAGAAATTAAGAATCACCAGGCAGTGTTGGAAATGGTAATTATTACATGAATATGCCACTTGTGTAATTTTTCTGCAGGAGTATCCATCAGAGTGTAGACATAAAGAAGGTCATTTTGTAGGAATAACAAGGTCTAGTTGGTCATTCTAGATTTGGGACTTTGTTAAGTGGTGCAACAAAGAGTAGAAGCGCAAAAGAATTCAGGGACATGATGGTATTATGAACATGGTATTGTCCAAATTTATAAATATTGCCTAGAGCAAATAAAAAGGCCCTTCTTCACTAAGGCAATTCTCTTTATATAGAAAGGATAAATGACAACGACTATACTGGCAGCTAGTCACTAGAAGAAATGCCATTGTTTACTAGAATGACCACCAAACCAAAACAGTAATGCTGTTTTTTACTTTTTATTAT